TTATTATTTAAAGGAAGTCATACCATCAGGAACTCTTATGTCTGGCTTATTTTGCAGGTCATTATATTTATGCCTTGCCCATATTGTTGCATGTAATAGTTTGTTCATTTTCCTTCCTGTGTAGTGTTCCATTGTATGCTGTAATGCAGAGCTTACTTTTGATAGACCTTCAGTGTGTTGACAGTTTGGGCTAAGACTAATAGTGGTGCTCCTGGAACATTCCTGCACATGTCTTTTGGTGGACGTGTGTATTTCTGCTGGGTTTACGTGGAGGAGTAGAGTTGCTGGGTCATGGGTGTGTGAAGGGCCCAGTACTGGATGTTTTCCGAAGTTGGTGCAGCTGCCATCAGCCCCGGCAGCAGAGGAGGATGTAAGGGTTCTGCTTGCTCCACAGCCTCCTTAGCCACGGCAGCCACGGCAGCGTCGCCCAGCTCTGCAGGTTGTGGTAGAGCGCATCTCACTGGGATTTTCACTTGCACTTCCTGAAGACTAACGAGGACTAGCATCTTTCCATTACCTCATGGCGTATTTTCTTTTTGGTCATGTGTAAACTCATTTCATTTACTGCAGTGTAAGACTTCAAGACATTTATTTAGCACTGGAGAATGAGAATGAACTATTACAACGTTAGCTTAAATGCTAAGAGACCAAATCTTTAGACTGCAGGCTTTTCCTTTTAATGAGTGGTATCAGAGAGACCTGTCAACCACCAAACTTGGAGGCGACCCTGTAGCAGGGTCCGAGGTCAGTGGTGGTGAGCACTACCCCAGCAGGCTTCTCAGTCTTCAGACAGAGTCAGAGACACCTTGTGCTTCTTCTTCTTATCTCAAAATGAGCAGAAATCCAAGGGTTTATATACCTTGTCTGCTATCATGTTCCACTATGATTGGAATATTTTATCTGCCAGTTAAATGACTGTTATAGGACATATTTATATTTTATTCATTTATGTTACATTTATTGCCAATTAAAGAATCGTTGTATGACCTATTTATATTCTTACTTATAAGGCCAAGTTAATCAATTAAAAATGATGGGAATTATTTAGTGGCCTATTTGGTTTTTCACTTAGAGAGATGGTTACATTCCATTACCACAGAGTACAGGTATAGCCCAACTTCAGAGAGTTACTTACAACCCACTTCATCTACTTCTGTTATCTTTTTTAGTTTTTAAATGTGATTTGGGGAAAAGTTTACAGAGCAGTTTTGTTTTCAGCAGTTCGTACACGTTTTGTTCTGTGAAACTGACTGCAATCCCCACAACATAGCAGCTCTCTTCCCACTTCCTCCCTTTGGTTACCTTTTCCCTGGGTCCTTTCCTACACATTCCTGCCCTCTGAGTTCTCTCTGCACAAACACTGCCCTTCTGATTGCCATTGCGGACTGTTTCTAAGGAGTGTCCCTACCTTGTATAATTGTTCACCTTGTAGGTCTGTCTACTGTTTGGCTGGAAGTTAAGCCACAGGAGTAACTCCAATTTGAACCAAAGGGTGACTAGGGGCCACAGTTTTGGGGGTTTCATCGTCTCTAGCAGAACAGTAAGCCTGGTCTCTTTTATGCTTTTGAGTTTTGTTCCACATTTTGCTGCCACTCCATCCAGGATCTCCAATTTTGATCCCTTCTAAGTGGCTGGCAGTGGCAGCTGGGCACCATCTAGTTCTTCTGGTCTCAGGGTCACGCAGGCTGAGGTTCCCATGGTCCACTAGTCCCTTAGACTAATCGTGTCCAGGCATTTTTCATTTTCTTCAGTCTTCTTTGCTCTAGACAAGGAGAGACAACTGTTGCATCTTAGATGGCTGTTCTCAAACTGTGACGAGCATGGCATACTTTTGGAACGTACCTGTTTTGGAAGAGCCATTCCCTGGAGATGGCCTCAGCAGTGGACAGTAGGAGCCCCCTCACTGTGCACAGCTGGGTGAAGCGCTTAGACCTCTTTCCCAGCTTCTGGAGTCTAACCAGGGCCTCCTCTTTGCCAGGAGTGGCCACTTTTGGTACGTTTCCAGCACCCTGAAGGCACAGAGAGAAGGAAAGCTCTTCTTCACCTGATAGGGCCACTCTTCTCCCAAAACTTGGGACACTGCACTGAAAGTTGGTATTTATTAAGGACAAGAACGGTGGAGTCAAGATAATGAGGGTTGTGTGGGTTGCGGTGTGGACTTCCACGGAGCTGTATTGCTGTGTTGTTTGCTGTGACCCGTTTGTGCCCCATAGAGACCCTGCGGGTCTCTGTGAGCACAGAGCACAGGACAGAGCTGCACCAGGGTTTCCCAGGCTCTGTGGGCACAGGTCACCAGCCTCTTCCCGCACGGAGACGCTGACGGACTGACAGCCCCGACCCTTCAGTGAGCAGCTGAAGCGCCACCCTCTGCTCACCAGGATGCAGCAGCAGGTGACCAGTCAGTCGAGCAGACGGGTTGGACTGTCCCAAGCAACCACAGGGCTGCCTGTGAGTGGGAGGCAGTCGTACAACAAACGCTGATCTCAGAGAACAAGACTGAGCCGCGTCTTCCCTGCATTTCCCTTTTGCACAAAGACCTAAATCCACCGTCTGCTCCCAAGGAGGCGACGCAGCCTAAGAACAGCCCAGATTCTCCCAGTGCAACAATCCACTCGAGGAAACCCCCTATAACGGTGTGAGAGCACAGACCAGCTGCCAGGACACGGACCGGCCGGGACACGCCAGCTGAGCTTTAGCTTTGACCTTGGATTTATTTTTCTTCCCTTCGATCCTAGTTTCTAAATGAGAAGCAGAGCCGTACAGGTGTGGTGGGAGAAATGGGCGGTAAGAGCAGAATGGAGCAGAATCACGCCAAGTGTGGACACTGTAATAATCAGAAACCCTTTAATTCCCAGCCACTTGGCGGCACTGAAGTATCAGCGTCATCCCAGCGTGTCAGCCGTGGGGCCGGCTCAGCAAGAGCACACAACTCCGCAGGTAAATCAAAGTCAGGGGAAGGGTGTTTATTGGTGCGACTGTTTTCCGGTGGTGAGCTTCCTTTACACAGCAATGGTGTAAATAGCATCAGACTGAATGAAAAGTTTGTTAAATGCAACCATAAATAATTATAATAAATATACATCAAGTAACTTTACAGCACACGTGTTTTAGGGCCAAGGTTGGGATCTGTCTGGACCTCAATGTGCTCTCTGGGACAAGCAGTCATATTAGCAGCAGGTGTCTTACTCACAGCTGTCACCTAATCAAGTGATGGGCCGACAGAAGCTTCCCAAACCCCTCTTGGGGAGGTAGCTGACAGATTTCTGGGTCCATTCAAGGGATGGGAAGGACTGGAGGGTACCGAGGATTTTACGATAAAGGGAGGAAAAGCCACTTCTAATGAACCCCAAAACTCTTTCACGATGCAGAACGAAATAAAAGGATCCTTGTTGTCAGGACCATGTCCTGATGGGCCCCTCCCACTCCCTCCATCAAGGGGGCGGTGGCCCCAAGGGGTGGCCGGCTGACCACCTTCCTTCCAAAGCAGGGGACCTGCTCCTAGCACGCACCTCCAGAGACGACTCCTGCATCCAAGTGGAACTGATGCAACAGCACCGACTCAGCCTGGACTGATCTTTCTCTTAGGGTGGGGGGTGTTCTCTAGCATGGTCCTTCTTAATACACTTCCTAAGAGTAGCAGGGAGGGGACAGGTACTCCCGACAGGCCAGGGCCACAGCAGAGGGAGGAGGCACACATCTTCTCCCTCACCAGCACTCACTCCAGAGCCTTCCACACAGCACGCACTCAGAGCTTTCACTATTCACAATATCATACAACAAATACAGCAATGGGATTCACACTGGTGAGGCCCAAAATGACAGTGTCCAACAAGATGACATGTGCTGCTCTGGACAAAGTACCACTGGACAAGACCGATTTCGGGCACAGATGCACTGGGCAGTGGGTGAGCTCCAGGCAGCTCAGCCCTGGCACACACACTTACACGGGGGGGGGGGGGAGTGGGGAGACACGCTACTGGCCGGGGTGGGGAGGCTGGCCAGGAGCTTCCTGCCCCTGTGGGCCTGGCCAGACGGGCAGGAGACACCCCCTGGAGTTTCCATCTGGACTCGAAGGTCTGAGCAGCAACTCAGTCGGCTCTTAAAATGAGGGGTGGTCCTTCCCTCTGTTCCCCACGGCAGACGCTACAGTGAGGAGGGCCCGCTTCTAGTACAAAACTGGACGGGCCTGAATCCTGTGCTTTCCTGCTCAGCGTTTGAGGACAAAGCCCCCCTGGAGGGCTGCCCCTCCAGCCCCACTGCTGGGGTGCATGCAGCCCAGCTCCACGAACACCTCAGGTCCCCAAACCAACCCCTAGTCTGTTGCTCCCACGGAGCACTCGGTGGCAAACCTTCAGACCAGGGCCACAGCGCCAGGGCAGACAGTGCTGTCTGGGTGGGAGGGGTCAGGGGACCCCAACGGGATTCTTCTCAGAATGACCAAGAGCAGAACAATGTTCTCAGTAGGCAGGCTCCACACAGAAAGCCCATGTAGGTGTCTCCTGTGTCTGGGGGACTGACGCACCAGGTCCAGACAGAAGGAGCCCGGGGAGCCAGCCTCAGGGAGACGCTCCCACTCGAGGCAGGCGGGCAGCCACGGCCGCGGGCGTGGAGGTGCTCTGCCGCTCTGTGTGGCTGAGGGCACCTCACCACCAGCCTCCTGCATGGCGGTTCTGTGACGAGGAACCAACTGGGCCCTGGCAGCACGGGGACCCAGTGGCCAAGAGGGACTGTCCAGGAAGGTCAAATGAGACACAAACTGTCTGGGAACTAAACTAGCCTACAAACACCACAAACAGGCAGCAGAAGAACCAACCCATCACGAGACGTATGGATACAAAAGGTTAAGTCTTCCAGGAGGCCCTGGAATGTGGACAAAAGCTGAGAAAAGCACAATGTCTCCAACTCCTCAGGCAGGGCCCCGGCGGGATGTGCCTGCCTGGCAGGCTCCCCGGGCCGTGGAGCTGGTGCTTCGGTGACCGCCGACCTCGGAGTTCTTCCCATCAGCCACTTAGGGGGTCTTCGCGGTAGTGAATGGCACAACGAAGTTTCTCCAGCATGATTTCCAGAGAGGAGTACTGGGGAAGTTTGATCATGAACATGCAGGTCTCCACTCGGATGTAGCGGGAGTCTGGGGAACCTACACAAGAAACGGGCCGAGGTTAGAGGCCCCTGCAGGGCCCGGGGCTGTTAGACTCGTCAGGAGCCTGGTGGGCCTCTCTCTCAGGTCTGTCTCCCTGGGCAACTCCAAGCTAACCCAAGGGCCCAGCAGGTGGGGGACGGGGCTCTGGCTTGCTGGGGAGGGGCAACAGAGACCGTGGGAGAAAAGGATAATCTGCAGGTGCTGGACTGCACAAGCCCAAGTCTGGGCCCTGAACAGTAGACCTGCTCACAGGCGGCTTTTTGGGTCAGCCAAGAGTTTAACTTTTTTATTCAATTATTTCCTGCACGTCAAAGCTGGAAGATTTAAACATTCCTGGATCTCAGCTTTCACCATGTGGAGCCACGTCCACACTGGGCATAAACTTCCACCTGGCGAAGCCTGGGCTTGGGAGCCTCGTGGCCCCTGGTGCCCATAGCCCTTTCCTTTACCACCTCGGGGCTTTGGTGCCGGCAACTCTGCTCCCTGGGCCCCTTCCCTCACCAGGAGGCAGTACCTGCTGTGCCATCTGGGGGGGCAATCTTCATGGGGTACGGGGGGACATGGGCTGTGTCGGGGCCCCCATCCTTGCAGGGGCAGGTGAACGGGATGCGCTCCTGATTGCAGGCAAACTTGATGAACTTGCACAGCTCCTCCTGGGCAAACAGCTCCAGCGCCCCCCAGAAGAATTCGATGTGCTGGTCTGTCTCCATCAGCCCCACCTGGTACATGGTGTGGGCCTGGGGGAGAGAGGCCCCAGTTGCGAGCAGCCTGGCCTCGGCCCCCAGCTCCTCCCCAGCCCTGGGCGGCAACCAGGCCCAATCCCAGACAGAGTGAACAGCAGAGGCTTTGTGCAGGCCCCAAGCAGGGAGCGACGGCCGCAGGGCACAGAGAGATCGTGACAAGGCTACTGACCCTAGGGGTGGTCATGGTAGCTCTCGTTTGTGTGACTGGCCTGTGCACTGGGCCTTACACATGTCACCTCCCTGACCTCTGGGGCAGGATCTGGTACTGTGCCCACTAGAAGCGGCGGCCCTAAGGAAGGCCTCCCAGCCAGTCAGAAGCAACACTGGGGAGCTGGAGCCGGGCCACCCTGAGGGGAGCTGCATGGCAAGGGGGGCTGGGCAGAGCTGGGCAGGAGTGGGCTTCCCTCGGGATAGTGGCTTAAGGTTTGGGCTCTGGAGGCAGGCAGGCTTGGTATAAGTTTTGACTCTGTCCCCACCGGCTGTGTGACCCTGATCCAGAGACTTCTCTCTGAGCATCACGTTAGCTGAAGAGGCATGAGACCAAGTCACGTGGAGTCTGAGGGCCCAGGCTGTGCCCTGCTGGCGTCTGGCGGGATGGGCTGGCAGCCGACGCTGGCTGATCCACCGGGTCCGGCCTCGGGCCACCCACCTTCAGGAACTCGAGGCTGATGTAAGGGAGGCCGCAGGTGCGCAGCTCCATCTCCAGCGGGCTGAGCGTGGTAAGGAGCTGCAGGGGGATGATGGTGCCTAGGCCGGCCCGCACGGCGGTCACGCACTCGACGTTCTGCAGCTCACGCAGCCGCAGACTCCGGATGGCCGCTGCATAGATGTCCTTGTTCTCCCACCTGCCAGGTGGGGGGTGAGGTGAGCAGACCTGTGAGGTGGTGGTGGGGTGCTCCTCATATGGAGCCCACACCCACGTGGCCAGAGGCCCCAGCCCCTCAGGAGCAGCTGGCCCACCTAAATTGCTTATCCTCCTGCCTGTGGGTGGCGCCTGCCTCAGAGACAGTGTTTTCTGAACGAAGTCCTTCAGTTGAAGAAACTCCGTCTCCCTCGGTCCCTGGCCTGCCTCATCTCCCTCCCATGGACGAAACCCATCTCTCATCTGGCCTAGACCCTCGGGCCGCCACCCACGTCCAGGTGCTGCTGTCACTCTGGCCACCACACCATGCGCCCACTCACGCCACGGGGATGTGCCGGCCACGGCTGCAGAGCTCCACCTCCTCGCCGGTCATGGTCGGGTAGGTGAATCTGCAGCAGGGCCTGCTGGGGCTCTCGGGGCTCTCGGAGGCGAGGTGCTGGGAGGCGATCTCAGCACACAGCACCTCCAGCTCCGTCTCGTCATTGATCTGGGGGAGGAGAGAGAGAGCCTGACTGCCCACTCTGCTCCCAGGGCCCAGGATGGAACCTGGTCCCCATGGGGGCAAACGCCTAGCACGTGACCTTGGGGACGTCTGCTGAGTGAGCGAAGGGCCCTAAGCAGCCCCCCAGGTCCAGCTACAGGCAGGGAATGGACTCAGCTTCCAGCGGAAGGCCCGTCTGTGTGCAGGAGGACGGCCAGAAGTTACGTGGTCTCAGTGTCCCCGTGCGTCCCAAGCAGCCGAGGAGAGAAGGAACTCCATCTCCTGGCCGCCCCAGACAACCTCAGACAATCTCCAAGAGCTTGTCTCCCATGCTCTTTCTTAGGGCCTAAGACAGAAACTGGACCCCGCTTGTAGCAATGCCTCTCACCACCTCTGCACATTCAGGCCCAGAACCTTTCAGCCCCACCTGGCTCCTGTGGGATGGACTCCGAAAGGGGCAGAGCCAGCAGGGCTAACCAAAGCACTCCCAGGTCTGCTGCCGGCCGGGAGGGAAGCCACAGCCTCTTGTGCCCGGGAAGGCCCAACCCCACTGCCCCTCAGCAGGAGCTCGCATCTCCTGTGGCAGGGACCTCGGCAGATAGCAGGCCCCAGAGGCAGTGACAGGACCTCAGGCCACCCCCTCACCACAAATATGCCTGCCACTTACACTCTCGAATTTCTTGACATAATTGTAGGTGAGTATGTCTGCTTCCTTCAGGTCCAGGTCAGGGTCCAGGGGCTCCCCAACCAGCGTCTTCCAGAACGAGGGCAGGAGGTCCAAGGGAAGAGGGACATCAGCTCGAATGGCAATCCCCAACAGCTGTCCCAGGAAGTGAAGCAGCTGCTCCTCCCCGTAGGTGATGGGGCTTGGCGTTAGGATGCACTTGCCCTGGAATGGAGGCGGGGCTGACGGCCTGGGTGGGTGCCCTTTTCCTCTTGGGGACACGTGGCCCAGGGGAGAAGCCACCCTGCTGCCAGGACAGGACAGCTCGCCTAGCCAGGGGAGCTGGGCCGCCCCTCCCAGGCCAGGACAGTTTCTGAAGGGTTCCGAGGACAGGCACCCGCCACCCCCCGCCACTGCCGCTCGGGCCCCCGAGCTCCCAGCCTGCAGCTCTCACCTTGTTCTTATTGACGGCCGAGCTGGGGCAGAGCAGGAGCAGGGAGAGTGCAGAGCTCTGCAGTTCTTTGCACACCTGCCACAGGAAGTGGCGGAAAGAGCCACCTGCAGGATGAATGGAGACATCTCAATACCCGGGACCCACTGGGCTGCCCTGCCTGGCAGGCCTCCCCCAGGCAGAAGGGCCAGGCTGTGGGAGCAAGATTCATGGAGCCTGGGACAGCATGGCCACTTGGGGAGCAGTCCTGGCTTCCACATGGCAGGGCAACGAGGAAGTGGCTCTCACTCTTGCCCATGGAGGAGAACCCGGACAGCTTAAGCTAATACCACCACTTCCTGAGAAAAGAGCTGATGGTGCTCCCAAGCCCAGCTTCTACCCAGCCTGGCTGGACAAGCGCCTGCAGGGGCCACTCACTGGTGCCATGGACCTCTTCCCCGATGAAACGGATGTTGAAGGCGTACGTGGGGTCACCGCCACTGGCCAGTTTGACGCAAAGCTGAGATGATGGCACTGAGGCCAGCTGCCTAGCAGCTTGGCAGAAGTAAGAGTTTTCGGATGCTCGGATTTCCCCTGGAGAGAGAAAGGGAGGCTGACACCTCCCAGCAGCCGTCCTCTGCCCTTCAACGCAGACAGGCCCCTCCCCGTGGTTCGCAGGCCCTATCCTTCATCATCCACCCTCGCCTTCTCTCTCTTCGTGGGACTGCCTGAGATCTTCCCTGCCCCTGCACATGGTTTCTGCTGCCTGGAACCCGCCTCCCCGTGCTCCATGTGCTCGGCCTGTCTCCTCCTTCCCGTTGCCCCTGGCAGGACCCCGCCCATCCACCTGAAGCCCCTCTCACGCCCTGCCGTCCTTTCTCATTTCCTCCCGTGGCGCTCTCCACCTCTGTCTGTCCACGAGCTGTCAGAGACTCCTGGCTGCCTCTCCCCTCTTTGTGGTGTAGCAGGCACAAGGTTGACCAGATGAAGGTCACACCTCCCAGCCTCCCCTGTGCTTAGGTGTGGCCACGGGGCTAAGTTCTGGCCAGTGAGCGTGAAGGAAGCGAGCCCAGTAATTCGTGGGAGGCGCACCCTCCTGCCCTGATCCTTCCTCTTGCTGTCCAGAACACAGAGCCGCTGACGTGGCGTTGGAGCTGGGAGCCACACACTGGGCCACTGCAGCCGAGTGGCAGAAGCAGAGTCTCTGCTGAACAAGGCCATGGCACTTCAACCCTGAGCTCCTGCCCCAGAGGCTTCTCGATGTGAGAAACCAGCCTGCTCTCTGCTGAAGCCACCGCTAGTTTGCTGTTTCTCCTTTTCATAGCTAGTCCTACCTCCCACGATTTCCAGAGGGTCCAAGGTGATCTCAGGTGCCGCGTGGTCAGCTGTCCTCTGCACAGTGGCATTCAGCACCCGGTTCATTACGGTCACCTTTGTGTCATAAAAGATCAGCCCTGAAAAGAAGAGTGCAGGAGAGACTCTTGGATGGGACTGTTCCTTTCTTTCCCACGTCCACTCCGAGGCCCGGAGAGGCCATGCTGTCCCCTCAGGTTTCCTCTCATCTAGGACGTTTTCAGTGTACACACCTTTGAGCCTTTCAGGTGCAGGGAGAAACCCAGCGTGTGCAAGTACAAACCCAAACCACAAAGAAAAGGAAGTTCACATTTTCTGAAACAGCAAAAAATGAAAACCAGCAAAGGGCTGATGCAGACTTTGAAAAGGATCAGGTTGAGCTGTATGCGCTGAACTACAAAGAGCTCTGAGCACATTATTCAATGGAAAAAGGAGTCACAGAGTAGAATGTGTGTATGATTTTTTTTTTTTTTTAAAGTAAAAAACTGTGTGTATGTCTATTGGAATGTGAATAGAAAAGTCAGGAAGCACATGTCAACTGTTACTAAGGGTCATCTCAGGGGGTAGGGACGTGGGGTATGGGGGTAGACAGTAAGAAGCAGTGTTGATTTTACAGATTTCTAGGTTAATTTAATTAATTGTTAGGTGCCTATCCTACTTTTGTAATTGAAGTCATCTCTCTTTGGTGGAACTGCTGTTTTAAGGGACGTGCATGTTAAGTGTAAGCACAGGGCAGAGCGCTGTCTTCCTGGGACAGCTGCCTGGAGGCTTGGTGCTGGCTGATGGCTCTCTCCGTCAGTTCTGGCCCTGAAGGTGCCCTTCCTGCCCCTCTGCATTCAGCCCACCTCTGTGGGTCAGGGTGGGTGGCACTGACCTTTGGCCTCCTTCAGCAGGGCTGCGATGCTGTGGGTGTACATGGGTGTCTGGCGCAGCTCCACCAGGGGCAGAAAGAAGGTCTCCAGCGTGGTGTTCAGGGACTGCAGCAGGGCGAAGCGTAGGCGCAGGCTCTCGATGGGCACGTCTGTGGGCAAGAGGGCCAGTGGGGCTGATCGCAGCAAAGCGAGGCCGAGACCAGGTGTCTCCTATCCCCAGGGAGGGCCACTAAAAGTGGGCGTGTTTCAAGTGGGACCAGAAGCTCCCAATGTGGATATTGCTCCTGGGCCCTAGAGAAGCCGTTGTGAGGGGGCCCCTCATCTGCCTGAATCTGTACCAAGTAGAAGCAAAGGGAGAGAGCCTGGGCTGGCGAGATGGGACATCTTGGCCTTTAAGGAAGCCAAGGACTACCCTGCCCAGCACTGGGGCCGTGCCAGGGCTGCTGCCCGCTACATATTACCTTTTCATTGTGGAATAATTACCGACCTGTAGGAAGCTGTGCAATGCGGGCCCCTCCCCCAGCTCCCCCGGAGGCGACACCCCCTACAACTGTTACACAATGGCAAACCGGGGGCTGCGTCATCCTCACAGTGGGCTTTCCCTCCGCTGTGCCCACCTGGACCTTCCCTGGACCTGGAGATCCAGGGAGAGCAGGGGCTTCGGGTGGGTTTGCTGATAAGAGGATAAACCCGCCAGGAGGCAGCCCACGGGGTGTCTGAACACGGAGGCTACAATCCGGCACACACACAGGCGGCCACAGAGACCCCAGAAGGCCGCCTGCTGGCGTGTCACAGTGGGCTGTTCTAGAGAGGGGGACTTCTGGGGACTCTGTGTTGCAGTTTCTGTGGGTGGTGGTAGGTTTCAAGGAAAAGCATTCATCGTCCTCCAGTGATCAAGGGCAAAGCCTCTGGTACGAGCTACCAGATTACTCTGGCCCTTGCTCACTCCCAAATGCAGCTGGTACCAGTGGTGGCCTCTCAGCAGTGGGGCGGGGATGGCAGTGGGGGACCTCGCCTGCCAGGTGCACTTCTGTATTTGTTGCTTAGCTTTGCTGTAACAAGCATCTGAGAAAAGGCTCACAGACTTTCATGTGGTGTCAGTCACAGCTTCCTGTCTCTCTCTCCCTCGTTACTGGCTCCCTCTTCTTACATAACTGGTCATGCCAGGTGTTCCCAGTCTATATGGATGATATATGACATAAGGCTCTCCTATACAACCCTGTGCCAACATGGGGGATGCCCCAGCAGGTGGGCGAGGGTGTAGTCCGTGAAAGGCACATTCACTGGGGCCACGTACTCAAGAGACAGGCCACTCTGGGGTCGGCGGTGTCCGCAGGGTCCAGATACACCTCATGGGGATGGAGCCGTGCGGGCGTGATGGCGAGGTGGCGGCACAGCCGATTGATATACTGCACGAGCGCCACATCCATCTCCAGGGTCCACTTCCTCGAGGCCTTCTGAGCATGGCGGACGTCAATACAGGCACACCTGGGCCGGAGGAGAAAGGCAGGTGGGCCGGGGCCCACTGGGGACTGTTGGAGTCCTCTGAGAGCACCTCGCCCCAGTCTGAGGCACACTGACAAGGCCTGCTGCGCATGTGAACCAGTACAACTTTCCTGAGAGCAGTTCAGCAACGTGTATCAACATGTGTCCACTTCCTGTCTGTGGGCAGTCTGGGGCTAGGGTTAAGAGGTAGGCTTGGGAATCCTCAGTGTGAACTCTAGGCTATACTTAGTGACCTAGGGCAAAAATGCATGCCTACTTGCCGAGCCTCAGTGTCCCTACCTACCCAGTGGAGAGCACCAGAGCAGCAGCCTCCCAGCACTGCCCCGAGGATGCAATGGTATCTGTGAAGCGCTCAGCGAGGCTGGCACGCTCTGAGTGTGTGGCCAGCGTCAGCTGTTGCTGTTACCAATACTGTCACCCTCTGGCGCAGTGATCCCATTCCCAGAGATCTACCAGGCGGGATGTGGCTGTGAGGGCAGCCAGTGCAGAAGGCTCTGTCCCAGCCACATTGGACACAACTGCTAAGTCCACTGCCAGGGGACTGGTTAGCTGAATGAACTACACCACACTCTAGTCACGGGACGCTAGGCAACCATTAAAATGAGCTCATTAAAACATCTTTAACATCATAGGACATGGAAAAAACAAAAAGGCCAAGGTCAGCCAGGATGTCTTGCGTGGTCCCGTTCAGAGCACTGTATAACTAACTGTTTGAAGAGATGACACTACAACATGACACAGTGACTATTCTGGGCACAGACTTACACAGACTACCTTTCTGCATCTGCATGTACTGTAGGTTATTAAGCGTGTGTGTCATCATTCCACAAACATGGCGCTGGTAATCAAAGGTGGTGGTGGGGTTGCTGGCAGGCAGGTGGGTGGGCAGGGGTCGGCCCGGCAAGCAAGTAGCTGGCTGAGCGTCTGGCTCCAGAGCCTGTGATAGCCCACAGGGCCATGAACCACATTAGGAACAGCACCCAGATGGGGGTGCTGGGGGGGTGCCTCAGGCCCCTCCTCACTACAGGTCGTCACCTCTGTCCCATCCACACAGTACGCAGAGCGAGACCCGAGCCTCCTGGAGAAGGGCCGCCCCTCTGACTAGCAAGTAGGGGGTGAGAGCTGGGGAAGTGCCCGGGCCTCCTCACGGCCCCACCACACGAATGAGCCTGCCGACCATTATAAACGCCTCACTTCAGTTGTCTGCAGCCCAGTACGTTCTCCCCCCACTTCTAACACAGCTTGTGTCTGCCAACAAAGACCCCAGAGTCAGCCTCTGGGACCGAGTTCCTAACACTTGTCCTTTCCACCAAGGTCCAAGCAGGGGTTGACTCTGAACGTTCCAGTAAGGTACCAAATGCCAGTGCTGGAGGTCATGTCTCCATTCTGAAAACAGGTTTCTAGAAGCCCTGCTAGTAACCACTCTTGCCAGACACTCCAACGTCCTGCTGTGGGGGCAGGAGCGCCCAGGGCGGTTTCTGTTGTTTTGCAAACAGCTTGCCTGCTTGGGGTCCACTTATGGCCCTCCCTGTCTGTGTGCCCTGGAGATGTGGTGAGCAACAGCCCTGCTGGGCTCCTGGGCCACAGGAGTATGACTCAGGGGAAAAAGAGTTCTTTGGAGTAAAATTTCTAAGCAAGAGACTAGAGGGAAAAATTGTTTTCAAATAGGTGGAAAAACCTACTCAGATAATTATGAAAAATTAGAAAATAACTCCAAAGGCATTTAAAAAGTGTGGATGGAATGGCTCCTCAGAAAGCGACTTTCTTGGTCAACCGATTGAGGGGTAACCCTCTTACCTCTCAAAATGAAGGTCATAACCACAGGAGAGAATAGCCCTCCAGACGCTGCGGATGTCTTGCTTGGCTCGGTCAATCACAAACTTGTGGAATCCTTCCAAGGTCAGATATTTTTCCTCAGGGACTGACAAGAAAGTGTAAGCATCATGAGGAGTTTGGTGAGGACTGTGCACCACTACGCACAATAGGCCCACTCCCAGCCCCTCTGTATCACGGCCTAATCTGTCTGGGTATCCCTAGGTCCCCATGACTCCAGGGTACCCACACTCTGCCCAGCGCTTGCCCACGTGTGACGCCCTTGACTTCATGGGGCCTCTGAGGCCTTGGCCCCGCACACTTAGGCTGGCCATTGAGGGCTGCAGCAGTTCTCCCACAAACATTTCTGACAGACAACACACTTTCTGTGACAATAAGAATAGTTTTCCCCAATCTGCTCGAGCCTTTAGGAGGTTTATGGCACTGGAGAAAATCACTAGCTTAGACAAGTGCCTTCTAGAAGAAAATTTCCAGGCAGATGTCCAAATCTTTACTTCTCACTCAGGCACAATAAGCTGTTCTTCACCTTGGGTGTAGATAGAATTTCTGGACCTGTTATTTTTAGCTATGTAAGTGTGTGGTCATCAAAAACTGCACTTAATCTGCGTTGGTAACTAATTGGGGTCGGCCAGGTATATTTCCCAGGGTCTTTGGAAGGGCTACCTGGCCTGAACTAGAACCGAAGAGAGCTGAGGGCCCCTAGAGTGGAAGTCATCCCAGTGCGAGTCCTCTCCGCCTCAGGGGGAAGCAAGTCTCGGAGCCCATGTCCCAACAAGCTGCTCACCCACCTTCTTGCTTTTTGGTTGGTGACTTTTCTGGGTCCTTTTCATCTGGCTTGCTCTTCTCCGGGGACTTGGGCTTTACCGTCGGCTTCTTCTCACTTAAGGCAGTCCTGCTGTAGACCAAATCACTCAGCTCGGAATTTGCAATCCACACCCCCTCCTCCAGAGAAAGTACAGAGAACCTCACATGTGCACCTGTTCAGAGCCCCCAGCTCTCAGCTGATGAGTCAGGCAGGGCTAGATTCAAGGTCGCCTTTTCTCCAAGGAAAGCTTACTGAGCAAAGTACACGGACAAACGGATGGTATGAAATGTAAAGCCATGGAGAAATGCCTCTTAAATATGGTTTCTACATACTTAGGGCTGTGCTGTCCAGGGAGGTGGCCACTGGCCAGATGGAGCTACGTAAAGTGTACTTAAGTAAAACTCACTTTCTCAGTGGCACTAGCCACAGTCCAAGTGCCCAGTCACCACATGGGGCTGGTGGTGACCGCAGTGAACATTCAGATAGAGAACAATTTCCACAGTCGAAGAAAGTTCCGTTGGACAGCACTGCTTCAGAAGCACCACTTACACATTAATTAATTCGTAAAAGGCCCCTTAGTCTACTGATCATTAACAATCAGTCCAGACACTCCTCTAGGTGGCATTTTGTTATCAGAATTGCCAACTGTGAGTGCTTGAGAGTCAGAAACTTACACTCAAGGGAAATTCTACTAAATCCGTATCACTTCCCTACACGGAGTGCCACGGAGCTACAGCAAAAGGGAAGAAGCCCTGGCGGTGGAGGTTCCACGGAGAGGAGCTCAACCGCTAACCGACAGGGCTGTGGGTCAAACCCACCAGGCTCCGTGAAGAAAAGACGCGGTCATCTGCTCACTAGGAACGCCTGTAAGGAAGCTCTACTCTGTCACATAGCGTTGCTCTAGTCAGAATCAACTCGATAGCACACAGCAACAAAACGGAGAAAGAGGACAGGGGACGTCTTCTTGTACTCACATAAAATTACCTCTGGGATTATCACTAAATGGAGATCTCAAGGAACACGCACAGTCCTTAGCATATGTGTTTGAAAATGTACACATCTAATTGCTTTATACACATAGCGAAGTTCTGGGAGGCTATAGAAGAAGCTGGTAACATTGGTCACCTCAGGCCAGGGGAACAGGGGGTTTGAGGATGGACGGAGACAGACTTTTCACCGCGTCTGCACCATTTTAGCCACGCAGGAGTTAAAGAAGCTTGTGTGTGTGCACCAGTCAAAGATTATGTGCGTGAATGCGGAAAGCAGTTTCTCTGGGTGGGACAAATGAATTATCGGCAATACGTGTGTAAGCGTTTTCTAATCTTTCTACAATAACTGTGTTATTTGTGTGGTCAAAAGAAGTTAGAAAGGCATTACAAACATTTTAAAAAATTCTGCTTATCTTACTAATCCAGCCCGGTCTGCTTTCCAGTCTACATCGACCAGATTTTACTTCATTCCGGGAGAAGCCGAACTAGCACCCAGTGAGGGAAGCTGAGGCCGGAAAGAACTCAGGTGGCAGAGCCGAGGCAAGCCCTGGGTCTGGCTCCCCTGCAGGTGTGGGAGGCTGCCGTCAGCCCCCTGCGCACGAGGGCCCCTCCCGAGGCTGCCGGGCCCACCTGACGCTGTTGAGCGCGGCCTTGTCCTTGGCCGGTGGCTTGGAGACGGGCCGTTTGGTGCTCACCACCTTCACGGGGTGCTGCTCCTTCCCGGCCCTGCCGTACTTGCTCTTGTCGAACTTGGGCTTCGGCACGCCGTACTTCCTCAGGATCTGCAAGGCACACGGCCAGAGGGGTCTCAGGCTCCCCCTGCAGGACGCCGGGCCCCAGCCAGGGACGGGAGTCTACCTGGGTGAGCTGGTCCTCCAGCACCTTTTTGGGGGGCCGGACATTGGTGAAGAAGACGTGGAGGAGGTTCCCAGGCGTCTGGGAGTTGATCTGCTCCTTGCTCAGGTAGATGTCAGAGACTTTGATGGGCTTAGCTGGTGTGAGGCTCAGCATCTGCTCAGAATGGGCACAGCTCTTAAATATTTCCGTCAGAACCTCTCTGGCCCCGGGCACCAGCTTCTCACCTGTTGTAGAGCAGAGGGAGGGGTGAAACAATTTTGCCATGAGCCAACCACGTCAAGAAAAGCCCTGCAAACACTGTTTTTCATAAACATATTTTTTCCTTTTTAAAATTGAGGTGAAATTCATGTCACATACAAGTAGCCTTTTTACAGTGAACAATTCTGGGCATTTCGTACATCCACGATGTGAGACACCACCTCTGTCTAGTTCCAGAACGTTTCCATCCCCTAGAAGGAAAGCCTGTGCCCACTGAGCAGTGGCTCCCCACAAAGAACATTTATTTTAAAACTGAGTAACAGACATTCAGTGGAGATGGCCAGCTAGCTATCAAACCGCCTCTCCCCTCCTTGCCACACGCCTGTTATCTTCCCAGCCTTCCTGGTCGTAAGGTGTGTCCATGCCTTGTCTCCCACGTGGGGCGTGAGCAGGAAGACGGCAGCCACGCTGGGGCCAGGGCCTCTGCTCCGCACGTGCCCTCTTCTACTGGCTGCACGCAACAACACTCCAGTTCGTGTGCCAGAGACGACCGCCACTGCACTGAACCCCTGGATTGGGGGATGGCTCACTGCAGCTGTTCGGCCAGCCTTACCTTAGACAACGTGTGCGTGATGGATCATTCCAAAGGAACAAAAGGATACGGAGCTAGCAAGAGTTCTTCATGCGAGGACAAGCTGTTAAACATGCTACAACACTACTTGAGAAGATGTCTCAGAACCGGCACAGTGAGCAGGGCAGAACACTTCCTCAGCTACGAGAATACTGCCCATGAGCATGAGAAACAGGACTGACTTTTGTCCCCAGTAAGGGCTGCAGCAGTTAATGGCCTGGCTGCTGACAGAAAGGTCAGTGGTTAGAACCCCCCAGCCGCTCTGTGGGAGAAAGATGCGGCAGTCTGCTTCCGTAATGACAGCCTTGGAAACCCTATTCTATAGGGTCACTATGAGTCAGAGTTGACTTGATGGCAAACAAGTCTGGTTTGGCTTTTAAGCACTCCAGAAGGCACTCTGCCCTCTGTGAGGGGCTGGTCATGACAAAAACGAATGCATCTTGATGAGGAAACTGGACCACCTGACCCGTCTCTGCTATCTCCTTCCCGTCCCTTTCGCTTCATCTTTTGCTCGTAGTGCTCCCCCTCGTGGGCCCTGGCACACGGAGGACAAAGTCAGGTCAGGCCTAGGGGTGGCAACCACAGCACAAAGTCCCCAGAGACGTACACACGGAAACTGAGAGCTGGGCCTCGCCTGGCCTGCCGTGTTGGGTCTCACAGCTTCCCTCCTTAGACAGGGGCAGGCTCCGTGCTCTCTACCACTCTCTATTGGGGAATGTATATGCATGTTCCTTCTCTGACAGGTTTCCGCCTTACACAGGTTCTGGCTTCCCTGGGGTGTACAGTATGTGTGCGGACAAAGAGGGCCACGCCCTAGGAGCTGACCCAACAGAGCTACATCATGAAAGAGCCCTCTGTGCAGATGGCATTCGTCGGACATTTGTGTTGCACAACCACCACGCTCCTTACATGGAAGGCTTTAAAATCGGGGAAGAAAACCAAATTCAAAGTCTGAAAAGACTGGTGAAGCATTAGTCATGGTGCAGAAAGACCCCAGGCTTGCGTTGAGTCTCCCAATAATGGTCTGCCATGGCCAAGAGCTGACGGGGCAATACTCCCCAAGGGATAGGACTGTGACGACTACGAGGGAGTGAGGCACTGGTCTTCAGTGCACAAATTGAGGGGCCCAAAAAACTTAGTAATTAAGATACAAGATTTTACTGTTGTGTTTTAAAAATCAAAATTAATGCAAAAAAAAAAAATCCACACTAAACCAAGATATGAGCAATGCCCGCTTGAGCCGTACTACCTGAGGCAAAAGAAAGCTCAGTAAGACTATTGCTGTCTTTATTAAAAATTTGACAGTTTGTTGATTTTTACGAACATGTATTAAAACAGTATTTATCTTAACTAATGTTTTTTTTTGGTCAGTCTCCATTCCCCTCCAATTGCATAGCCAAGGCCTTACTCGCCTCACCGTCACTGGCTCTGAGGGAATACTTCAAGGTTGGGAGATATAATTTGAAAACAAACAAAATCTTACTTAATTTTATATTTTTATACTTGGAAAACATAAAACAACTCTACTATGTAACTTCAAATAATATTAAAGAATTAGAAAAGGGGACATGGATTAAACATTTTGAGAGACTGATAAAAAATAAATAAATGAGGATACAAAGAACTGTGGTAATTGTTGAAAAAGTAAAGAAAAGCTGGGCTGCTCCTGCGGTGCCTGTGGGCTTAGTCAGGGCCTCCGCTACCTCAGCCCTGCGGGTGCCCTAGAGCCTGGGTCCAGGATGAATCCTGGGTCTCGTACAGAAGTGAGACGCCAGAGAGGGTCCACCCCACAAAGATACAGCCAGATGACAAAAGAGATGGGAAGGGGGACTTGGAAAAGAGCTGGAACTATTTCTTCCCCAAGAATCAGTTTAACGCATTAGCTGTCCTCAAACACACGCCAAAATCATTACCAGCAATGCACTTGTTACGTTCTAGTGCTCCAGTGCCACAGGACCGAGCAAAACAGCTGTATTTGGACTTCAACGGGAAGAAGCCTGGCCAGACAAAGAGAGAAGACGACTTGACTGCAAGCCCGTCTTCTAGCCTGAAGCAGGCTGAGGCAGACCCATTCCTGGTGGTGGGACGAGCCTGCCTGCGGGGAGGAGAGGGGAAGGTTCTCTTTCTGTCATGTGGAGACACAGCCAGTCCCTGCAGCAGGTGACGAGCTCGTCTGATGACCCCAATACGCAGGTGACGAGCTCATCTGATCAACCCAGTACTACCTGAATCATTTTCAAAATCTGCAACCTACCTTTAATCGACTTATCATTGAAATAATCTTCTAAGCCTGGGCTTCCTTGCGTATCAAACAGACTTTGATTGACTACAGATACAGTTAAAATCTCTTCTGTGGACATTTCCATCAATTCATCTTCACCGTCCAAACTTGACAAACCAATCAAATCATTATTGTTAAATAAACTTGCTCGGATTTTCTCAATTTTGGCTCGGGATCTTATCTGCATGGACAAAAAGGAGAGTCAGGATTTGAACAGAGTGACTGTTTGTTCCATGTGAATAAGCTCTTTTTCTTTCTGCCTTTCTCTGGTATCCTGTTTGTCCCAAGCGTGGTGTGGCTGCCCAGCTTGGGCTAGCTGTCTCTCCTGATAAAGCTCCCCTCATGTTCCAACAACAGTAGCTTTTAAGGAACAACTCAAGTAGAAATCACTGCTGGCCAGGTCTGTGGCCTGATGCCCAGGAAGCTAGGATTAGGCCGGGCTCAGAGGGATCCCCTAGGAAGAAGGAAAGGAATGCTACAGATGTAGCAAAAGAAGTGCTTCTAGGAAAGGAAACAAACCACTTGCCCCTCAGCCCTGCTTCCAGAGCCCCCGGGAGAGCGGTGCTGCCTTTGTCCACAAATGCAGGGGTGCATGGAGGGCAGGCTCTGCTGCTCAGCCTCACTCTGTCACCTAGGGCACAGGGAGGCATCTTATCTGGTAAAGGATTTCTAAACAAGGAGGCCCAAGAACAGATTGGTTCTTGCAGTGGAAAGATGGCTTGGCAGCACACACACATCATCTGAACCTTGGGACCACCTGGAAATCAAATGGTAAGAGTCTACTTTCAAGCTGCTCAGAGCAGACCCGGGGGAAGCACCCTTCTGCCCAGGGCACCATTTAAAACAACTTAATGCATTCTTATTAGCGATGCTGCTCTGGTGGCGTAGTACCTAAGGCATTTGACTGCTAACCAGAAGGCTGGTAGTTCAAAGCCACCGGCCACTCCTCGGAAGGAAGGTTGGGCAATCTACTTCCATAGAGATACCGCCTTAGAAACCCAAGGAGGGGTCGCTTTGAGTCGGATCCGACTTGATGGCAGTGAGTTTGGTTTTGGATTTGGCCTCAGAAACGGACCTCCGGAGGGAGAGAGCTTGATAAAGACTATCCTCCCGGGCGGTCAATTTCCCAAGCCACCTGGCCTCCCTCCCCTCCTACCTGAACCGGTGACCTGCACTCACATCGGGACACCAGACTTGCCACCACTCTTGGGACACCCCCTCAAACAAAATCGTTATGCTTGTTCCACGAGTGCCCAGAGAGCTCCCTAAGTGTGCCCCCAGCTAATCACTTAGAATAGCTTTGGGGATTCTGATCAGTTACAATTTTAGTAGCCATCCAGTTTCAGGGCCATTACCTCCACAACTGCAAAGCCTTTGATGGGACGAGCCGGGACAGGCTGGTTGTCCAGGGATGTGACTGTGTACATGGAACCCACATCTGACACCGAGGCTGTCTCTGCGTTATCCAGAGGCTCCCCCAGGCTCCCCAGGCTTCCGAGGCTGCCAGTGCTGCACAGGGAAATGTCCAGGCTCTCCTGGCTGGACACCACTTGGGGCTCCAACAAGCCAGGTGGCAGGGGCAGCTCGAGGCCCGAGGGCAGCGGGTCCACAGAAAGGTCACTGACCGTCTGCGAGATGCCCTGGGAGCTGCAAATGGAGGCCTGGCTGGTGGAGGCTGACGCACTGATGCTCATGGCGGGGGTCAGGCTGCTGGACGTGCTGCCCTCCAGGCTGTCCGTGCCAGGGAAGCTGAGTACCTTCTCTGGCTCGGCTTTCCCGTCCCCGCCCTCTGCCTTGTCTTTCGGCTTCTTGGGCTCTTCTTCCTGTAGGGGAATGTAGATCTCATCCCTGAAGACCCCGCCATGGGCATTGCAGGCCTTGCGGATGGCACCTCTGACGATGCCCTCGTCCAGGTGGGTGGGGATTCCAGAGATAACGAGCAAACGGCTGTGGGCCGTGGGGCCCACCAGCGCCTGGCAGGCGTCGGCGATGGCATCGCTGGTCACGCCCAGCCCCTGTGGGTCCTTCCTGGTGAGGTGCCTGAGGATGACGAGCAAGGTGAGTGCCCGATGGAACCACAGCATGTCCTCAGGCTTGCTGCCTCCAATGCTGAGCAGGGCGGGGTCGGACTCCATGGAGCGGGACGACGAGCGCTTCCCCGAAGAGGAGGCCTTTTCCCGTTTCATCTTGACCTTTTTTCTCTTGGACAGGAGGCTGGGGCTCTGGGGCGTCTGTCCTGGGGAGGACGAGGAGGAGGAGGAGGAGTCACTAAGGTTTGGGGCAGTCGTTGAGGTCACCCCACTGGCTGTGACACTCATGTTGGTAGGCAGAGTCACTTCGGCGACTGCCAGGCAGGCTTCCATCAGTGCGTGGAAGTATGTTGAGAACCTGCCCTGGTCGGCTGCCACCGCCGACCCAGAGCTCCCACAGGTACCACCCGAAACCCAGCTCTGGGCCTCCTCGTCATATAGCTTGTGCAGCTCCGACTGCAGGGCCATCAGCATGGCCAGGCAGGGGTTCAGCTGGAGGGCAATGGAGGAGGACAGGCCGGCGGGGTGCTTCCCCTGCTCCAGGGCGTGCACAGTGCGCAGCAGCTCTGCCAGGAGGTGGAACACCTGCTCCTTCACACAGGCTGCCATGTCCGTGGTCCACAGGAAGTTCCCTGAGGCAAAAAGACAGTGATAAGAATTGTGACACTTTAGCATTAATTATGTGCCAGGCACTGTTCTAGGCACGTCAACCCTCACATCAACCCTGTGGGACTGGTACCGCGTTATTCACGCCCATTTAACAGATGAGGAAACAGAGGCTTGAAGAGCTGAAGGCCTGGCCCCTGGTCATGCAGCTGCCAGGAGGCAAGCTGGGGGGCAAGCTGGGCAGGCTGGCCCCCGAGGCCTGGTCTTGGCCCTGTGCCACAGTGACAGCGCATCAGCCCACTTACACGGCGCAGGCAAAGGGATGGTCGTTTCCATCCTCAGAAGGTGAGTTGGTGGCAAATCACGATGTGGGGGACTCACTAGGGGTCACCCCTCCCGGTTTCATCAAACGGCACAGAAACGTACTGAAAGCTTATCCTTTTTCTCCCACTCCTCTTTTTAGTCCTGATCTGTCAACAAGCAGTCTTCACCAGTCTGTAAACTCACTAATCTCTGTTTTCAATAGACCCTGGGACAGGATCCATTCAGCCCTTGGCTACAGTTCAGTAACAGTGATTATTTTCCTGCCATTTCTTTTTGTACTTATCTTCTCACTCTGGTAAACTGACAGCAGTGAAGTCATGTTTCCTCAAAAATGAAATTTAAATTTAAAAAACGGAAAAATGAGTTGATTATAATAAAAATACTAAACAAGTAAGTGCTAAGGGGCATGATTCGCAGAAATTGCAAATTTAGCAATTTCTGTCTGGAACAAGACGGGCCACATGTTTTGCCCCAACCACACATTCTCTTACATTCACGTACTCCTGTTACCTGGAACTGAAAGGAAGGGGAACGGCTCCTATTCAGTGAGATGCTAGTAGGGGTCACAGGCCTTGATCTAAGGCCCACACTCCTTAAACCATCAGAGTCCTCCGCCCCAAGAGAGTGAAGTGCAGCTTGTTCCACCCAGATGGGCCTTGTACAAGGTCAAGATCACTGGACAGAGGCTGAAGAGCTGGTCCAGCTAATTTACTGAGAGCCTCTGATTAAGTTCCGCACCTCTGAGTGAGGGGGCCAGGCTTCTGGCTCCCTAGGGGTGGCACTGCTTAATGAGTCTAATTGGAAATAAACTTGTGATTGTCACGGGACATGGACTCTCACAGAGCCTGTCACAGAGGACAGCTGCCACCGTTGCACTCTCCCCCGGGTCTGGTGCTAGAAATGCTTCTGCCACATCCTCACTACCCTCCCTCTACCAGACGACAGTTACCTAAGAGAGAATTCGCCACCAAAACTGCCAACGGTGGCCCACAAGCTGCCATCTTGTTACCACAGGTGCAGTTTCAAGAATTTGTATTATTATTAGTCGTCAACATCTAAAAATTAGAGGATTACAATCTGACTTTCTGGCTTTTCAAAGTTTGGACTTCTGGCCTTGCTTAGAAAAATTAAAAAAGTCTGGCAGGACTGAGGCCACATCGTCATGCGGCAACGGGCAGCAGGGGCTCCGTGGCTGCCCGACACGGCGCGCGCCCTTCAGGTTGCTCAAGTCCCCCTCCCGTCCCACTCACCTGACTCTCATTTCATCAACTGCTTGACCCTTGAAGGAATCTGAGTTTCCAAATTTTTTTAAACGGAGGTATAATTTACACTATAATCTCTTTTTCCCCCCAACATTTTACTGTTTTTTTTACTGTTTTAAAATACTTTTATTTTCAGAAGTATTTCAAAAAGAACAGTTGAAAGACTCATACAGTAAATACCTATGTCTCTACTGCCTCGTCTCTCCCACGACCTGGTGGCTCTCCTGCTCTATCACACAGCTGTCCGTCCGGCCACCTCCCCACTCAGCCAGCTGCCCAGCTTAGTTTTTGATTATTTCAAAAAAGTTGCAGACATTATTATGTTTCATCCTAAACACACTGGCAGTCATATCACTAATTAAGAGTTCAAAGCTGACTTCAGGTTTTGTGGTAAATTTACACACATGGTAAACTGTACGAATCTATGCCTCTATGAGCTCTGACAAGTGCACCCTCTTCGGAGTCACTCAGGAGCTCTGCAGTCATAAGGTTTGATTTTGCACCACAGCTCACTTCTATGCCGCTCTTGACCCCTAAAGTTATAGTAATGGGATATATTTATCTCTTAATTAAAAGTGTAAAGTATGATAAAATTAACCTTCATGTTCAATTGCCACACGTCAAAATAACAGAAATATCCTACAAATCATGGGTTTGGAAGTTCAAAGCCCACCTTAAAATCAATTCCCCAAACCTACTTCAAATGACAAAGGATCTAGGTTGCAGCTGCCTGGGCTCCTCCCTGCCCCATTGGGCAAAGCCCTCGGGCCTCATGAGAGCCACTTAGGCCCCCTTGATCTTGGAGAGAGGTGCTCCTTACCTAGCAGCTCCACTACTTGCAGGAGGACAGATGTTGGGATGGTATCAGGCTCATCTTCAGACTTTGCTTCACCGTCCTCCGATCTCCAGGACAGCAGCTGCTCTGCGAAGGCCATGGCCAGTGGGAATTCCAGGGGCAGAGAATGCAACACCAGCATGGCTCCGGGAGGTGGAGACACCCCTAGAAGCAGCCCAGGAGAAGACGCCTGAGAAAATGGCCTGCCAGCTCTGTGGACGGACAGCGCCAGAAAGCCCACCCCTCGTCTGCTTGGGTGGGAGGGCACCTAACTGCCAAAGCTCCAGATGAGAGTCAGTGGCCAGGCACTGGGAGGAGGTAGGACATCCCTCCAAGGGACCACTTACTGGTGTGTTACCGGGACCAAGGCGTGGCAGGGTGAACAGGGAAGGATAAGCATTTCCCAAGTAGGGAGATACTGACCAGCCTTATGACCCAGACTGGGAGTGCTCAGTCATGCTGCCAGAGGCATCACTGGAACACTCCAGCTTGGCAAGGAGTCCTTCCTTTTGTACAGCTGCTATCCCAGTAAGACCAGCAGCTCAGATGAGGCTCAGAGTGGGCCAGTAAGGAGACCTCAACACTTCAGGCACCTCCAAGACCTTAGGTTTTGATTCTTTTCAATTACCTTCTGCCCTTACCATGGTTTAAGTCTGACCCAAACTGGCAAAAGGTCCCCGGGCCTGGTCGACCTCACATCTTGCACTGCCTCCCAGCCCCACTAAAAACATGGATTGTCAGGGAACAATGAGGAGGAACTGTCTGGTACACGAGCACTTTGAGGTGGCAAGTTCTGTCTCAGAGCAACCTCTCACACAACAGAGCCAAGCACTGCCCAGCTCCACGCCACCCTCACAGTCCTCGTTACGCCTGAGCCCGCTGCTGCAGCTCTGTGTCAACGCATGGTGCGGAGGGTCCTCCTCAACAAGAGCTAGCAGAGGCAAAATATTACTGTATTCCCCTACCCCGAGCAACTTAGGAAACAGAACCGGTGAACAGGGATCAAAAGATTTTTAGCAATAACCAAATCACCAAGAAATGTCCCTGCATTCCATTCTAGAAAGATGCAATGTCTAAAGGACCAGGGATGTGGAAAAGTCAAAGTCCATTTTTCAGACTGAAAGGTCAAATGTATTTTATAATGGTCTCTAACAGATACACGTCAGTCTCGGGGTGGCCCAGGAAGAGCAAGGAAACCTGTGGCCAGGCTTTCCTTTCCTCTCTGTGTCTTCTCAGAAACAGAGTTGGCTGGCCCTGGTGTGAAGGGAACAGGCACACTAGCTTCAGGATTTACAGAGACAAAGCTATCACCCCCATCTAAAATATGGAGGCTTCATAAACGATGCCAGGGGAAAGCAGACAATGCAGCCTTCTGGCCCATACACACAGCTTCATTCACCATCTAGACAAGTAGGAGCAGCCATTCATGGTGGCCAGTGCCTGGGAAGACACATTACACACCAAAGGATCTGGGTTATTACAGCTCAATGATGAGGCCACTCTGTTCACATCACTCTACTCAGTATGCAGCCCAAAGTGCATCTGGGAACAGAAAGGAAGCCCACACTGCAGCCTGGGCACACCAGGCAGGGGAATGGGTCTTTTCATCCACTGCCTCGAAGATACACCATTCCAAGCAGCCCTAGTCTTTACCAACAGGAAACCAGACTAAGGCCAGGTCTAAGATGTTTTCTAACTTCAAGAAGAAGGAAAAAGAATGACCTCATACTGTTCTGTTTATTATCATGGGTTCTTGAAGAGACTTACCCAGTTTGATGTGGACCTTGTCTGTAGAGAGGATCACAGAAGGGTACTGGTTGGTGGTGGGAGGAGGCGTGAGCCCCGTGTTGGCTGGAGACGCGTCCCGGGGGTAGCAGACAGCCTCAATGAGGTTCAGCTGGCCATTGCGCTTCACTTTGTGGCCCAGGCCATACACGAGCACCCGTGCCCATGGCGCCTTGTACAGGGAGGAGCTGAGGGGGAGGGCCCAGTGTTAACAGAGGGAGCCACACACCCCAGAGAGGGTCAACACATGCTTTCTGATGAGAAACAAGTTAACTGAGAACTGGGCATAGATCATTTCTACCTCATTTCAGAATTCCTTCAAGTCATTCTTTATAATTTTCCAAACATGCAAAAGTGTGAATAAGTAGAAATGATTTTAAAATGCTGTTGTGTGCTGTTGATTACAACTCATAGTGACTGTATAGGACAGAGTAGAACTGACCTGTGGGGTTCCTAGGCTGTCATCTTTACAGAAGTAGACGGCTTTATCTTTCTCTCACATAGTGAGTGGCTGGTGGGTTCAAACCACTGACCTTTCAATTAGCAGCCAATCGCTTACCCATTGTGCCACCAGTGCTCCATCTTAAAATATAGTGGGCATTTAAAAATAACAAAACAATTGGAGTTTTTCCTCTGTCAGTTTCAGCAGAATCGGTTTCATTTCTCTCTCCCTGTCACCCTCTTAGGAGCGGGTCACTTACTCTTTGCGGAATCCAGACTGACTTTCTTTACAAGATACGACGACAAAAGCTGCCCCGGGGAAATTAACATCCATATTGACTTTGGACTCAGAAATGGGAAATTCTTCAGAGGGGAACTGCTCCGGTGCTGTCTGCAAAGAGACATTTGATAGGGAAGGCCAGGGCCAAACACCAGGGAAGCGTTCCATTGTGTCATCTCACAGAGCGAGAGGAAGCTGCCAGAGCACACATTCTAACAGGCTCAGAAGGACAACAGAGTGCTTGCAGGAGGAATAAAGTGACAGACAGGACGAGGCAGAAAGGCTTCCGAGGAAAGAAAATGGGTGGGCAGGGGCTTAGGGGAGAAGGCACATCACTCCCGGCAAGCCAGTGAGGCTCCGGCTGAGAACCGTCCGCTCGGCGGAGGTGCTGGCGCTTTACCTGCAGGAAAGCACAGATCTGCCTGGTCAGCTCCAGGAGGCTCTCCTCGCCCTGGTGCAGGGTGCGCGTGATGGCCACGCTGAGCCACTCGCGCACCGTCTGGGAGTTGCCCTGGTAGAAGAGGTCTGTGGCAGAGCAGTTCTGGGAATGGATACAATGCTGCAGAGACTGTGCCAGGAGAACAGAGCTGGAGCTGATGGCGCCATCTGCAGACAGGGCAGAGACATGCGGTTTATGAGACCCAGAGCAGCCAGAGGCAGGGAAAGCCCAAGTAACAAAAAGTGCGTAACCTGGCCAGGGGCAGGAGACATTACTGATCAGATCCTCCAGGGGAAGATGCCGATCAATGCTTTTTAACGTTTACTCTCTTTTTAGCAGCAAAACTGCTTCCTGAAAGAAAATCTTAGGTAGATGCCCAAGTCTCTTGAACAGATAGAAGTGGGGCTGGTCACTTGGGTTTTGGGGGTTCCCAGAGCCTGATCCCTTTGGCTGCCCTGACCCACCCTGTGGCGGCACCAAGGAACCATTGAGGTGCCTTGGAACAGAGTCTACAGAGCAATGTGTTGGATCATTGTGGCGAAGCAACGCTTCCAGCCTCCTGCAGGCATATTTCTAAGCCTCTAAGTTCTTGTGGTGGGGTCAGCAGACTCCAGGTGCTGAAATGGACCTGCGGAGGTGTAGCATGGGTGCATACACGCATACGAACACAAACGCAAACACGCACGTGTACTGCCTGGGACTCCATGGCTGCGAACCAGAAGGCAACCAGCCCAAATGCAGTAGTGGCTGAGAGTGCCACCTGCCTCCCCACTGCTCCCAGGATGGTTGCTGGGAGACCAAAGGAAGCAGGCTGGAAGCTGAGTGGCAGAGGAAGGGCCCCTTAGTCTTAGACTGCACTGTGGGCAGATAATCACTTGGTGTCCACCAGGGGGCATCACACAGCATTGGTTCTCATCCACATGGGCCTCCAACTCGTCAGACACACACAAGCTGGTCCATTAAAACAGCTCTACCTGAAGCCTCGATGATGTCATGACTGCTTGGCAGGAGCTTGGAAACAGGAAGTTTTACCTTTAGATGCCAAACAGAATGTCTGTGGCAAGAGTACAGTGACCGTATTTCAGAAATAATATGTTTATTTTCTTTGATTCAGTTTGTTTGCATTTAATCCATTAACATTCAGTGTAATTATCAACAAGTATGAATTGGTTGCTGTCATTTTGTTATGTGTTTTTTCATGGTGTCCCTGGTTTCTTTGTTCCATATTATTTTCTTGCTGAGCTTATTATGTTTATGAATCATGTTATTTCCTTTGTTGCTGTTGTTTTAGTATTTGGTGAATATTTGTGCTTATCCTCTTTTTTATTGTGATGCGAAGGTTTATCATTTTTCTTTGAGGTTACCCTGTGATTTATAATTTTCTCCCCAAGTTTAGACCAGTCCATTCTATCTTGCAACTTTCTTAACTTCCTCACCATTTAGAAGTTCTAAAACTACACAATCTTTTTGTTTATAGTTATTCTCACTTGCCAATTGATATCTCTGGTTCCCTGTTTACAATCCTGTAAGCTCATTTTACTTTGGATATGTCCATAGCTGTGGTTTCTGGGTTATGTCATCTTGTGTATTAATGGTCAGTTATTGTTTGCTATTGTTGGTTCTCTGTTCAAAGGACTCCCTTTAGCATCTCTTGTAAGGTTGGTCTGGTTTTAACAAATTCCCTTAATTTCTGCTTATCTGGGAATCTCCTAATTTTACCATCATATTTGAGGGACAATTTTGCCGGGTATATAATTCTTGGTTGACAATTTTTCTCTTTCGGGATTTTATATATACCATCTCATTGCCTTCTCGTTTGCGTGGTTTCTGCTGAGAAATCAGAGCTTATTTTTACTGGCTGTCTTTTGTAGGTAACTTTTTGTTTTTCCCGTGCTGCTTTCAGGATTCTTTCTTTGTCTTTGGTTTTGATGAGTTTGATGATGATGTGTCTTGGTGATTTTCTTTTTGGATCTGTCCTGTTTGGGGTTCACTGGACTTCCTGAATGGATATATTCTCATCTTTCATCATATCAGGGAAGTTCTCCTCCAACAACTCTTGGACAATTTTCTCAGTGGTTTTATTTTTCTCTTCCTGTTCTGGAATTCCAATGACATGTAGGTTATTCCTTTTGATGGTATCCCCCACGAACCTTAGGTTTTCTTCATTTTGTTTTGATCTTTTTCTGATTGATCCCTTTCCAAAGAAGTATTTAGGTATTTGTTTTTAATCTCATTAATTCTGTCTTCCAGTGCATCAATTCTACTCCTTTGCCCTTCCAATGCGTTATCTATTTCTGACAATTTAGTGTTAATCTTCTGGATTTCTATCTGTAGATTAAGAATCATTTCTACTTTTTCATTTATTTTGTCATTTTGTTCTTGTATTTTCTTCCAAAATTCTTCTAGGGTTTTGTCTGTGTTTTCCTTGGTCTGTCTCTCAATCCTTTTATGATACCTAAATATAATTCTTTTGAATTCTTTATCAGGAAGTCCCAATGCTGCTTCTCCTCAGGGATGTGTTCTGGGTCTGTATCCTGTTCCCTTGTTTCTACCACTTTATCTGGCTTCTTTGTGGGGACTGTGATGGTCTGCTGTCTTTGAGACATTGTGACATTATTGTATTTAGATCTCTGTTAACTGTTTGTGAAGAGCAGCTAAGGGTGAGTCAAACTCTTCTTGGTGGTTGTTTATCGTTGGCCTGTTGGTGGAGAAGGAAGTGGTGGCTCTCACTCAGTAAGTGAAGCTGCAGGAGGTGTGGGTATAGTTGTGTTGTATGGGGACTGTTGCTGTCTCCCACTCAGTTGGACAAAAATAACAACTGAATAGCCATCAAGAAAGCAAAAGCAACAAGACAAAAAACACATTGTGCAATCACACAGGAACAATAACCAAAAAAAAGAAAGAAAGGGGGAACAAAACATACATCGCAATATCTGGGGATAGGGCAATAAGAGAAAAAAGTTAAGAGAAGGATAATGATGAAGAGAAAAGGGGAAAAACATAAACAGAAAAACAAGGAATGGGGTTAACCATGATAAAGAAAAAAAAAATTGGAATTAGGAACAGGGAAAAGAGAAAAAGCTGAAAACTAGAACCTGGGAAGGGAAGAGTAAAGAATGATAATAAAAAGGACAAAAACAGACTAAAAAAAAAGAAAAATCGGGGCAGGGCGGGGCAGGGTACCCAGGCTCTGACCGAGCACACAGGCTGGGATGGAATTCCTGCCAGCCTACAAGGTGGGTGGGAGTGAGGGATGGCCACAGCTCCATTCACCAAGCGAGTGTGGAGTATAAGAGTAAAAACGGGAATGTCGCACCTTTCCTGCCAGCATTTGGAATATCCTTGTGGTTCCTGGCAAGTGGAGCCTGTTCTTAAGTCCCTGGAATCTGGGAGAATGGTGTTGCTTTAAATATATAAAATGGTCAAACTGCTTGTAAACATTCAAAATGGCTGCACCCTCTGGACACGCAAAAGTCCACAGCTTAGCCCACCTTCCTCTTCACTGCTTCCCCTTTTATTCACCAGCCACCAGAGCAGTCATCCGTGCAGTCCCTGGCTAGCAGAGCTTATTTTTAGCTTAATTCTTAGGTCCTAACACCACTCGGCAATATCCAAGCTGTCTGTGCCGTCAGGATTGCTGTCAGATCGCAGCTCCGTATGTCTCCTTTTTTGGTGCTTTCATGCAAATTCTTCTACTAGTTGGAGTTTAATCCACTTCTATATCCTTCCCTTCCAAGCTCAGGGCTCCAGGTTTATCTTCTGTATCAGTGTTAATTGGGTTCACCTTTTCTTTGTTGAAGAGGGTTGATTCACAGTTAGTTTGGAAGCTCAATGAATGCTTAGAAGACTAAGACTAAAGTGAGTAATACACTTAACTTTTTCCAAAGAAGGAGAGGGAATGGCTAAGGCAATCCCAGCTTTTCAGGGGAGTTCATCTAAAGCGGCCTAAAGGCACTGTGCCCCAAGCCCCCAGGCCCTCCTTAGGTGGAGAATGGGTGAGCTCAGCACAAAGCCTGCTGAGGCCTGAGTCAGTCTTGGGGGTATTCTACTCTGGGGCTGATTTCTGTGGTGACCACAGAAAAGCCGTGTTTACCTGGGAGGGGAGGGGCGAGGAGCTGACTGGACAGCAGCTGCAGGTGCTCCAGCGTGATGTCCCGGATGGCAGGGATGTGGAAGAGGCGCGTAAACAAGTGAGGCAGCTTGGGGGCGAAGATGCTGAGAAGGGCCATGCGGCAGTAGAGCCTGGCCAGGGCCGCCTCACAGCGCAGCAGCTCTCTGCAAGGGAAAAGGCAGGCAGGGGTACTGAGCATGGGCAGCAGGTCCACGCCTGGGACGGGCCGCAGTATATGCAGGAGCAAGGGCCACCCCTCAGGTTTCTCTTCTGGCCTGCGTTCTACACTCCAAGTGAGTGACTTAGGTGTTGTTTTTTTTTTAAGCCATATTTAGTTACATTTTTTCCCAACTCAAAAATCCCTGTGGAAAGAGAAAAACCTTGCACATGAATGTTCATAGCAGCATTATTCACAATGGCCAAAAGGTGGAAACAACTTAAAGGTCCATCCATAGATTCGTGGAGAAACACAATGTAGTGCACTCTCACAGTGGAATACTATTCAGTAATAAAAAGGAGTACAATTATGGTACGTGCCACAACACAGATGAGTCTCAGAAACATCGTGTAAGTGATTCAGATACAAAAGGCCACATACCACATGATTCTATTGACATGCAATGTCCACAATTCATAGGGACCAAAAATAGACTGGAAGTTGCCTAGGGTTGGGGGCCGGGGGCAACGGGGAGGGCTGAAAGGCCAGCAGCGCAGAAGGTGAGTATGGTGGAGAAGCAGGTGGAAGCCACATCACACAAGGCTCTGAGCCAGGTTAAGGGTTTGAATTCTATTCCAGAGGCCATGGAACAGCACTGGGAAGGTTTGGCTCAGAGGGATAAAATCAATGCTAAAAGATCACTCTGGTTGTTTTGAGGAGAAGAGAAACTTGAGGAAAGAAAGGAGTAGTGGAAATGGAGAGAAGAGGACAGACTGGGAATCTGTGGGGACTGACAGCAAGGAAAAGGATGACTCAGGGCAACTTGTGCGGAAACGGTGGTGTCCCTCCCAGGTACAGGGAAGACTAGTGGAGGAGGAGGAGGTTTTGAGGAAAAATCCAGAATCCACTTCCTGTGCTACATTTTAAGGTGTTTATTAAATTACCCTTTCCTCTTCTATATGAGGACTGACTTTGGATTAACCTGCTTCTAGTTCCATTCTCTGCAAACCTGATAAAGGCAGAAAATCGGTGGTGTTATTAGGCGTTCTGCTTAGGGTAGTCACGAGCCCAGGTGGCAGGCTGCAACTGGACCGGGAGGACTGTGAAAGAGAACATCCTTGGTGGGAAACCACTGCTCTGAGGCGTCCCAAAGTGCAGGGACTCTGGTAACTGGCACATCTCCTGCCGGGATCCCTGGAAGCTGTGTGTGTGGAGTGGATACTAGAGATACTGGCTCCTGTTTGGGACACGGGGCTGCTCAGCCACCATGGGGCCCTGCTGTGTGAAGTGTCCCTTACACCTGAACCGCTGCTTGGGGAGAGGGTCAGAGACTGGCTCCTGGGCTTCCCTGTGGACAGCCGTGAGACTGCTGCTAAAGAAATCTGCCCGATGTTGCCCTGGGACACACCATGCTTTCTATGTGACACCAATGCCTGGCTGGGCTATTTTAGTCTTACAAAAGCGATTGTCTACCTCATCACTGAAATGGAGCCATGCAAGATCCATATGGGCATGTCAAGAAGGCACCTGGGCACGTGTACCTGAAGTTCCAATGAGAGTTCAACGCTGGAGACATAATTTAGTGTGTGGTTAAAATGGGTAAGCTAATGAGAGGCTGTAGTGGCTAGTGGGTGAGCTGCATAACAAATAGTTTATAAGCTTTTATCAGAAAACCTCATGCTTTGTTTGATTTTCCTCTGAATCGCTACAAGGGTTTTTAAGACCAAAGGAAACAATTCACCAGGGAATCAGTAAGGGTACAGGTGAGGGAATTTTGCCAGAGCATTAGGTTTAAACCACTGGGGGCAGGGATGTGCCTTCAGCATCTTCTGTTCCCTCCCAGAACCCCACGTGGTGCAAGTGAGCACCCTTCAGTTGTTCCCAAGGTGGCACTCGAGAAAAGACTCCAGCAGCTTCCAGAGAAAGCAGCTGGCTGCTCACACAGAGCCTGGAGCACTCTTGGGAGCTCTTCTGGACTCACTTTGGGAGCTCTGGTGGTGCAGTGATTAAAGCATTTGGCAGCTAACCAAAAGGTCAGCAATTTGAACCTACCAGCCACTCCATGGGAGAAAGATGAGGCAGTCTGCTTCCACAAAGATTTATAGCCCTGGAAACCCTATGGGGCAGTTCTACTATGTCCTAAAGGGCCACTATGAGTTAGAACTGACTTGATGGCAGTGGGTTTGGTTTTGGGTGATTCATTTTACTCTTTATTACTTGTCCATACTCTTTGATTGCAGTCACTCTCAGTGCCCCACACTCACAGCAGAGAGTGCATGTGGCACAGGCTGGGCCACTGGGTCCCCTAACTTTTCCTTCTACCTCCTTCCCTGTGCTGTTAACTTTACTAGCTGCCTTCTCTCCCTCTCTTCACTATAAAAGGAAAGCCTCCTGCCTTCTTGTCAAGGACAGATGGTACCTGTGGTAAAACATGACTGGTGGGTTTCTGTGGCCCACTAGTAAGATGCTCACTTTTACCTGTGGATTTGAAGGTTGGTATTGTCCAGTGTGACCAGCCCATTAGTGGCAGTCCTTCGGTAGCCGGCTGGGGGCCTTTCCAACATATCAATAGGATACCAGTATCGGACCAGCACACCTTCACTTCGGAGGTATGTCTCCACCTGCACTAATTCATTCACCTACAATGGTAAAAGGAAATGACTCTGTTTTTCTGAACACCGACTTAGTTTTCCAAGTTTAATGTATGTGTGTGTGTATATATACATATGTGTGTGTGTGTGTATATATATAAGTGATTTTTAAAATTTCAATTTTTTAGATTTTATACTAATAATATGCTATTTCATGGACATAACAAAATAAATGACTTAAAAAGGAATCCACAAATTTTGAAACATATATTACAAGGTAAGTTTAAACTATATACTTCTCTAAGAAAAAGTAATAAAGAAGCATGAATATTTTAATAATCTCAGATTTAACTGTGAGTTAATAAAATTACTTACTAAAAAAAATCATTTTAAAAAAACCACTCCAATAAAAACAGAAAAAGAAAAAGACAAGCTATAACAAGAGACTACAGCAATAAGTGCTAGTTCTATGGCACTGACTGCAACAACAAATTCAAGGACATCGGGTTAGTATCGAGAGTGGGTTTTAGTTTTTCCAAATCAGACAGCCAATTTTAGTTGTTACAATAAAATTAAAGAAGATCTTCAATGTAATCATGAGTAAGCAACTTTAAGAGAACAGTGCTACAATTCAGTCACACATTTCAACACACACTGCTGCCAGGTAAAATTTATGTTATTTATGGCAATACTCTTTTAAAAAGCAGGAAGTATGTCTGACAGCTCTAGTTTACTGCCAAGAAAATAAAGAGTAACTTCATGTATATGCATTCTGGATTCAAATGCCAATGTAATGTTTATTTAGGGATTATTTTTAAAAAAGGAATCAAATGACTCGAGGAATAGCAGAATTATTTAACGAAATTTCTATTTCTTAATTTTTACTTCATACATTTCTACTGCTTAAGACTATTGTGAGGAGCGCGTATTTTCTGATTACAAGGGTAAGTTTGTGTTGCAAGGTGGTGGGAAGGTAACAGTATTATTGATGGCATTTTCTATTAAAACATTCACTTCGGTCAACCATCCAACGGTAGCCCCTCTAAATAAATTCAATGATTTAAATTAACTTCTGGTAAATGAAATTCGCTGAAGATGTAAGTTTTTAAAAGGTAGATTTGAAAGCATTAAATGATTAAGTTTATCTGCATCTGTATTTCTAGATAGAGACCAAAGCTTAGATCTATGTACTGCTAGGTACTTCTTCATCAAAAACAGTTCAGTCTCAATTACCATTATTTGATCAGTTTTTCTTGAAGGAAAACTTCTTACAGGCAAGGATGGGCATGCAACCTCAAGTCATGCAGTCACGAGTTTCAAATAGGACTCTTTTCAAAAGAAAGTTTTGCTATCCTCCATCCTACCTCCTTCTGTTGCTTTTCCACTCTTCACCCCCCAAAATCCTTGCTGAGACCCCTAAGAGGGCTCTGCCAAATGCAGAAGAAAAGTCTTGCTCTAGTTTAACACACCCATTTTACAGACAGGGAAACTGAGGCTAAGATAACTGGCGAGACAATGTGATCAAAATCACAAAACAATTTATTCGACTGTGTCTGTACGTATAGCAATCAACATAACAACAGATCACCCATTCATTAAGGACAAACCTGTTGTCCTCGAGTTGATTCTGACTTAGAGAGACCCTATGGGACAGAGTAGAACTGCCCCACAGGGTTTTACAAGGCTGTAATCTTTGCAACAGCAGACTGTCACATCTTTCTCCCACAGAGAAGCTGGTGGGTTTGAACTACTGACTTTTCAGTAAACAGCCAAGCACTTAAACACTACACCAACAAGGCTCCATCATTAAGGACAATGGTTTTCCCTTGGAGCTTGGACAGGTACAGTATAGAGACAGAATTTGAAAATGGCTGATACAGAGTAATGGCAGAGACAGCGTGGCCTGAAGCACTAAGAGGTGAGAGCCTCTCATCTACCACAGGCCTTGTCCTGGCTCCATGGCAACAACCTGGACCAGTCAGTTGGCATGACAGCACCTCTGTTTGGTTCTTCATCCCTGCCTTGAAGAGCAACCCATCTTCGTAAACACTTTTCGAGGTACTTGAAGTCTGGGCAGGAAAGTCTCAGTACACAACAAAGGCTTATGAATCTGAAGGGCTGTTCACTCACTGAATCAACATCCAGCACGACCCCATGAAGCCCGAAGGTCTTCAGCATCCCGCGGATGGCAAATTTTGGCAGAGCAGTTCCAACTGCACTGCTGGCTACGTTATTGCTGTCTGGAGAGCGGGTTACCACAGTGAGACCTGAGGAGGGTAGAAGGAGCAAGTACTATTATCGTCTCAGGACCCTATATTTTAGGGTCTAAAGTAGCTCTTTCAGCATTTAACAGCACCCTCAGTTCAGCTATCATCAAAAAGGGACATAGTACAGAGGTAATACAGCAGAATATTTAAAGAACTCTCACAATAAAAGGACAAATCACCCAATTTGAAAAAGGGGAAAAGATTTGAACAGACATTTCTCTAAAGAGAAATGAAAAGATGCTCATCATCATCAGTCTTTGTTGTTGTTGTTGTTGTTTGCCGCTGAGTCAGATCCGACTCATAGCGACCCCTCCTTGGGTTTCTGAGGCAGTATCACTTCGGAAGTAGATTGCCCAACCTTCCTTCCAAGGAGTGGCTGATAGGTTTGAACCGCCAGTCTCTGGTTGGCAGTCAAGTGCCTTAGGCACTACACCACCAGAGCTTCTCATTAGTCAGTAGGGAAATGCAAATCAAAACCACAATGAGATACTACTTCACAGCTACTAGGACGGCTATAATTTTAAAAAATTGTAGTAATAACAACAGCAAATGTTGGGAAGGATATGAAAAAAACAGAGCCCTCAAATACTGCTGGTGGGAATGTTAAATGGTGTAGCCACTTTGGAAAACACTCGAGCAGTTGCTCAAAAAGTTAAACATAAAGTTGCCATAAGAATTACAAATGGCAAAGATTACCCAAAATGTAATGACAAAAAATATCCAAGAGAAATAAAAACTTATGTCCATACAAAAACTTGTACTCGAACATTCACAGCAGCATTATTCAAAATAGCCAAAAAGTGGAAATCACCCAAATGGCCATCAACTGAGGAATGGATACAAAAAATGTGGTCTATCCATACAATGGAATATTATTTAGCCATAAAAAGGAATGAAATACTTATACACACTGCAACATGGATGAACCTTGGAAACAGGGTGCTAAGTGGAAGAAGCCAGACACAAAAGGCTATATAATGTACAGTGATTCCATTTTTATGAAATGTCCAGAACAGGCAGATCCATAGAGATGGGAAGTTGATAGTGGTTCCCAGGGAACAAGGGAAGGGAAGAATAGGGAGAGATTGCTAATGGGCACAGGGTTTCTCTTTGGGGGATGAATATGTCCTGGAATCAGACAGTGGTGATGGTTTGGTGAATATATGAAACTTGTGAATATACTAAAATCCCCTGGACTGTACATTTTCAAAGGGTGAATTTTGTGGTACATGAATTATATCTCAAAAATAAAAACAAAAAAGAGAGAGAAAGAAAAAAAGAAAAGAAATGTTCCTGGCCCTGCCTGTGGCATTCTGGTAGTTTTGTGCAGGTTCTCTGCTAACGTGGCAGTGGGTGGTCTGAAATTCTCTTACTGGTACTTTTCTGGAGCTCCTTCATTCTTCCAAAACATGCCATATATATACATATGTGTGTGTGTGTGTGTGTGTATACACACACACACATACATAAATTGTGACAAAATACATGTAATGTACGATTAGCCATTTTAACTATTTCTAAATGTCCAAATGAGTGATACTAATTACATTCATCATGTTGTGTAACCATCAACACTAATTCCAACTCTTTCTCATCACCCCAGAGATTTTTAAACAAAAGAATAAGCACATCCTATTAAAATTCAAAAAAGCACAGTAAAAACATGTATAGAGAGGGTATTAGCTCAGTGGCCAGGCCTAAGCCCGAGGGCCTGTCTGGAATCCTCAGCCCAGGCCCCACTTCCCTCCTTGCACAACTGCCCTGCCTCACCCTGCTTATGACAGAGTTGTGGAAGTGTAGGAGGCCACCAGAGGCCAGACAATGTTTACCTCTGCCCTACCAGGAAGTTGCAGGGCCTTACAAGGGACAGCCTGGAAGAATATGTGGGGAGACATCTAGCCTCAAGACAGGTCACCCCTGAGAAAGGACAGTCACTCTGTGAGAGCCAGCAGGAGGGAATGTTCAACTTCTCATTTCATAGGAAATTTCCTAAGTGAAATAAAGAGGAAAGCAAAACCTTTTCGGACTTTATCAATTGTGAACTTGTTTGCTTCGTCTTTGATGTCTTCAATGGTGGGGAGATAAAGGTCTCTTGGGATTCCACCATTCTCCTCGTAGAGGAATTCAACCGTCTGCCTGGCAATATCCACCATGCCTGGAAAACAACGGCACTGGGTCACTCTCCAGAGGTGACACAATCTTCTCACCAACCACGACTACTGATGCCCAGCCAGAAGAAAAGCGACCATTCCTACTACAGTGTGTGGGAATATGCAGGCTTCCAGGAAGGTGACCATACAGTGCAAACCAAGTTTGACTCAGTGAATGCTCTGCCTCTAGGAATCTCTCCCCCAGAAACACAAGCACAAGCGTGCAATGACATGTCAGCAATAACCGAAAACTGGAAACAACTGAAGTGCTCCTCTATAACCAATGGGTAAAATGGTGTATGTCACTCAGCTGTCACTACATTTAAGTCAAAAGAACAAGCAATAGGGCAACTATGGAGTAAGATGGGAGGGGGAACTTATACTGTATTTTTACGTATATAATACGTGTTTTATGCAAACCATACAACCCCTTCACATACTACTTTCCTATGGACGCTGTATTATATACATGCGCACAATTATATGGGAGCGTTATATGCAGGAAAATACGGTACTTCTTACTGTATACAGTGAACCTGTGAGAGTTGGAACCTGACGGGACTGCCTTGTTTTTCTGCTCTTACAAGTTTTCCACCTTTGACAAAATGCAGTCTTACTACTTTTCTATTGCTTGTTTTAGTGGAAAATATTTGGGTTTTCCTCCTCTGCCTTATATAGGTTCCAGCCCATGCAGGTTTTATTGTATACTGTTGTAGTGTGGTGGTGTGTCTGAGTTTCCTGACAACAAACACAAGCTATATTTAAGAGAGACATGAACTGTCTTAACCACCACAGGAAAGTCCACCGCCCTTCTTTCCCAGGAGGAGACACATGCATTACGCTCAACGGTAAGAGCCACCATCAGCGAATGAACGAAGTGAGTGAACGTCCCAAGGCCTGAGAGAGGCAGCACCACAGGGAGTACAGCGGACGTGGGGCCTAACACCTCCGTGTGCTGCTGCCGCCTTAGCTCCCGTGCTGCTAAGGGAGTTGCAGGCAGAGGAACGGGTGTCGACAGCATCTGCTTCTAAACAACGCCTACTTCCATCACATTCATCTACGTCTCTCAATCACTGGCCCTTCTGAAATGAAAAGGTGTAGTGATTTTCTGAGCAAGATTTAAAAGAGGTTTGCGAGTAGAGACTGGTACTTAGCAAAACAGGTGCCAGAGAAAAGAAAACCAGACACTGAGGCCTAATATGAAAAGATTATAGAAAAAAATAATCTTTGCAACACTTTCCAAAGGAATAGTGGGGAAAAGAAAAACCAAAACCAAACTCAACCCTTTACTGTTGGCCGAATAAGCAATAGTCGGGGTCCACCAGGAGACTGCCCAAATTAAACCGGGCCCAGGATAAGGGTGGCTCTATTAAACTTCTGTGGAGGATGTGCCAACAGAGGCTGACCCCCCTTGACAGAGTGTCCCTTTGGGCACTCCGAGACATCTCTATTCTCCTGTCAGCCTATATCACTGCCACGTTAAGGGGTTTGCATTTGACAGGTCTGTTTTATGTTTAAATCAATATTGTTCAGATGGTTGGCCATCGTCAAAGGGATGGATCCTGAGAGAATGGCCTTGGCAAGATAAGATCAGGGGCTGTGGGTGCTTTCTGGTGGGGCATGAGGCTGGGAGTCCCTGACAGATGCTGCTTCTGGGTAATCAAATGTCTGTGGTCCAGTCTGATTTTTCCTCTCCCGCAAAGAGGGAAGAGAAGGGACACCTGGCCACAGACATTCAGGACCACTCCATCAACAAATGGTAAAAAAGAAAAAAAAAAAACCCAAACCTGATCCTAAGATTATAAGTGGAAGGACATCCAAATACTGCAAAGTCTCTTTTCCCCTTTTGTCTCTCTCCCAAAGTAGTAAGAAACACAAGCCTCCCTGGACAAACAGTGCTTCCTATTTCTAAACTTAACCCTACTTTTGCCTAGTTAACTCTGGGTCTGACCTTACAGATCATGCTGCTAGAGACTGGGTCACTCTAGTCACATACACTGATTGTAACCACAGGGTGGTGTGTTTGCTCATCACCTGTTTCTCCACTGGAACGTAAGCTACATGAGAGAAAGGACAGTCTCTGTCTCATTCCCGGCAGATTCCTTATTCCCTAGCACAAGGCCAACACCCAGGAGGCACTTGAATGCATGAATGAACAAGTATATGAATCAATGATTAAATGAATGACTGACACATAGCCCTCCTAACTGAAAACCAAGGGTCTGCAACAGTGCTTCAAGGCAGATACTGGCCAGTTTGGCATTACATTTAATACATGGAAAACAAAAATAGTAAAACCCACTGTCATCAAGTCGATCCTGACTCATAGTGACCCTACGGGACAGAGTATTACTGTTGCATACGGTTTCCAAGCCTGTAATTGTTCTGCAGTCTAAAAAACACAAAAAGAGTATTTACTTTCAGATGCTGAGATTGGATGAGGGAGAGCAAATTGTCACTGTATCTCAGATCTACTATTCAAAATTACACTGCTCCTTTGTTTAGTGCCCTCCACTGTGTTCCTGTCCTGCGTAGAATAAAGCCCAAGCTTTGGAAGGCTGATGTGCCTCCCTGCTCCCACTCATCTCCTTTCCTACCACTCTTCTGCTCAGACACTTCTCTTCAGTTGCACTGGCTTGGCTTTACTGTGGTCCTCTGAACAATCCAAACTCACTCTCATCTTCCTAATACTGTTTCTTCTTAAGAGAAAAGAGAAACTAAAGAACAGATAAGGATGAGTATTAATGATCTATCTGCCCTGGGACCTGGTTGGCAGCTGAAGTAGGGCTCTGGTAAGACAGCAGGAAGCGATCATACCACATCATAGGATGGGAGGGGGTTCCCAAAGGTGGAGTGTAAAGAGCAACATTCCACTGTCATAGGTCTTAGCTTCGGGGACAGCACTGCATGAAAGGAATCATATATATATGATTAGTCTTTTGGTGGCTTTTCTCATTCCTGGGGCCTAACAAATCATAACAAATTATGGATAACATTGCAAAGAATGGCAATTCCAGAACACTTAATTGTACTCATGCAGAACCTGTACATAGGACCAAAAGGTAGTCATTCCAACAGAATAAGAGGATACTGCCTGGTTTAAAATCATGAAGGATGTGGTTCAGGGTTCTATCCTTTCACTACACGTGTTCAATCTGTATGCTGAGGACATAATCCAAGAAGCTGGACTATGTGAAGAAGAACACGGCATCAGGATTGGAGGAAGACTCATCAACAACTTGTGACGTGTAGATGACACAACCTTGCTTGCTGGAGAGAGGAAGACTTGAAGCACTTGCTGATGAAGATCAGTGCCTACAGCCTTCACTATGGGTTACACCTCAACATAAAGAAAATAAAAATCTTCACAACTGGACCAATAAGCAACATCATGATAAATGAATGGAGAAAAGACTGAACTCGTCAGGGATTTCTTTTTACTTGGATCCACAATCAACACCCATGGAAGCAGCAGTCAAGAACCCAAAGACAAACTGTAATTGGGCAAATCTGCTGCAAAGGACCTCTTTAAAGTGTTAAAATGCAAAGGTGTCAGTTATGAGTACTAAGGTGCATCTGACCCGAGCCATGGTACTTTCAACCACCTCACCTCATATGCATGTGAAACCTGGACAAAGAATAAAGGAGAATGAAGAAGAATAGATGTATTTGAATTGTGGTATTAGCAAAGAATACTGAACATACCATGGACCGGCCAAACAATGAACAAATCTGTTTTGGAAGAAGTACAGCCAGAATACTCCTTAGAAATGAGAATGGTCAGACTTTTGTCTCATGTACTTTGGACATGTTATCAGGAGGGACCAGTTCTTGGAGAAGGATATCACGCCTGGTAAAGTCGAGGGTCAGTGAAAAAGAGAAAGACCCTAATGAGATGGACTGGTGCGGTGGCTGCAACAAGGGGCTCCCACACAGCAAGGGCTGTGAGGATGGCACGGGACGGGGCAGTGTTCCGCTCTGTCGCACGTGAGTTGGACCAACTCGATAGCATCGGACAACCACCACCCTGTCAGGCAGGACAAAAGTTAAGACAGGAGAAAGATTTCTGACACAGGGTCAAAATCTCTTACGCTATCTCTGACTGCCATGTAATGAAAGAGCCCAGGTGAATGTTCCACTGGAAAGGGCAGCTCTGTCTGTTGGGAAAAGGCATTTCTGCATCTCAAAAAGCAGGTGTTTTGCGAGATTAGGAAGAGCCTTAAATAGAAATGAGCTACCTGCACTTAAGACTCATCAACAATTTTGAATTTGTATGATTCTTAAATTTGTATCATTAAATTTAATTTAAATTTGTATTATTCTTAGCTAGAGGAATAGTGAGTATTTCAGGAGGCCAGTGGGAGAAAATTCTCCTCCTCCTCCTCCTCCTCATCATCATCATCACTGTAATCTTAAGAAGAACTGTATTAACTGAATGCTTACTATGTGCCAGGCACTGTTTTTAGGAACTTCACCTGTATTAACTCATTTATTTTTCATATAATATATGAGATGGTTATCATTAGTGATCCCATTTTAACCCTTTTGTGACCCGTGGGACACTGAGACATATATTGCCTGCTAACATTTCAGACTCTCATTTTTCTTAGGAAGCTGTTATCCCAGCTGTAAATGGCTACTATCACCTGGGAGAGACCTGTATAATTGCATGAATCTGAAGAAACAGGCCTCACTCTACCAATCCTATCCTCAGAGTCTACTTGGGACATGTGTGTCCCATATAATTACATCAAAATCCCTATTACCTTAAAAAATTTACTTTCCCTTAATTTCTGCATGCCTTTCTATTACTGAAAACACATGATATCAGCAAAAAAAATTCAAAGCCTCAAATAATCCATTCATGGAAGAGTTATAAATCAGGGAAGCCCAGAGCAGTTAAGCAACTTTCCCAAGGCAACACAGCTGATAAATAGCACAATTGTGACTTCAGAGCCAAAGTGTTAACCACTCCCCATACAACTTCCCATTATAACCACTCCATCTTCGTACTAGCAGCCCATCGACCCAAGACAATGAGTTAAACTGACAAGTAAAAGCCTAGCAATGAAAACATCAGACCACATTTTGAGTTAGATAAAGGTACAGTAGAGGATGCTGTTACGTCTGGCTCAAAGTTTCATAAGCCCCTCTCTCCTGATTTTCACCCCAAACACATCTCTTTAATTCATGAAACACGCTCCGAGGGAAATACCACCACCAGACCTAGTTGTAAAGCACCCTTGATCTGGTCCAGGCCTGACTTCCGCTCAGCTTCATTGCGGAAGCGTCTTCGGATAGTAGGAAAAACTTTGGTCTCCCATGCCTTCACCAGCAGGGCATAGTGGTCCTCCTGGAAGGAAAGAGCAGACACATGGGTGGAGAAACAGTGCCTTCTGTGGGCCTCAGTCCTTCCCACCCTGACGTCCTCTCCCAACTCAAACGCCAGTGACAGGAACAGTGGGCATCCTTCAGACGCCCAAGGCAGGAACAGCTAGACTGACCAAGCTCTTCCTCTGCCTCCCAAGTGGGGGAGGACTTACATGATACCCAGCCTTCCTGCTGAATTACTAGCAGGGAACTTCATTTCTCTCACACCTGGGTCTTTATTGGGCAGAAAGCCTAATAGCTACTGCTATTGACGTGTGGGGTAGAAATTAATACCTCAAAGTCACAGTGCAAAGGCAATTACATAATTGAAAGTGACAACTCCAACCTTACACCTTTAGGTCAAATCATTCCTCATGGTTTTCCGATCCCCAGGGAGCTAACTGAACACTGCCAAACCTCCCCACTCTCACCTGTGGGTCTCTTACCTGCGGAACGTCATCATCGTCATCATCATCACTTTCGTCATCTGCAATGGGGGGTGGGTGGGGGTCTGGGCCAGAGGTTATGAAATTCTCATAGCTGAGCTCCACTTTATAATGACAGGAAGTGTCACTGTCATACTCTGTAACAAAGCACAGTGACAGTAAATTGTAAGCAAGAGCAGGCCGGAAAATCATTTACTTGTCTCTCTTGGATGAACTGAATTCTCGTAATTTATGTGACAGAAAGGACTCATAGTACTTTGGGGATTTTTAAGCATAGAATGAAGGAATAAATGCTCATCCATAATTAACTTGAATCCTAAAACAGCTTTTATGGGTAAAATTCATTCAACTCTGAAAGGAATTTGGAAAGTTTCTGATTGTAAGGCACAAAACAGATACTTAAAAAGACTTTTCAACCCAGTACCCCGTGGGCCAGACGTCTTCCATATGTCTGCTCAGTTTTTTTCCCTCCCCATTTTATTATGAAACTTTTCAAATAATCAGAAAAGTTTTATAGTGCACACTTTCATACCCACCACCTAGATTCTGCAATCAGCATTTCACTATATTTGGGTGTCCTCGGTTTTACAGTATTTTTTTTTTTAAAGGCTCAGCATTTACACATTAGGAGATTTCCCATGAAATTCTGGGGTTTGGGCTGTTCTGTCAGCACGGGACCATGCTTCCAGCTTCATTCCAGGTGGCCGTATTCCACTGGTGCTTCCTGATGTGGGGGAAGCGCTTCCCAGGCTGCCACACTTCCTCCCCTCTCTCTTTTTCCCCAGCATCAACGGGCACTTGAGTTTGCATCCCCTGATTTTAACTAAGATGCTCAAGTGAAATGGATTTCGGGAATTCAGAGCGCCCACTTTCCCAGGAAGCAGAGGGACCCTCAGAGGAGGTGGCTTACGCTGCTGAGCGGTGGCCACAGCAGCGATTCGGCATGGTGGCCCATGAGTGCCTGGGTCTGATGCAATACTGGTGCCAGCATCATTGTCACTGTCAGATGCCATGGCAAAGGGCAGGGCCTCAAAGTTAGCACTGATCTCTTCTGCCAGGTCAGTGCACAGGTCGGCGGCATTGCGGTGGGCCTGCCCTTCTGCATAAGCAAAAGGGCGGGAGCCAAAGTTAGCCCGAGTTTTGGTGTTCTGTAAAGGAGATCAAAAGAAAGGTTTGAAAGGACTTAGGTTTTTAAAATTTACTTATGTTTAACATCCTCAGGTGAATATCACTAAATTTCAAAAGAGCTCCTGATGGGACGTGACACTAGGCGGAGGGGCTGGCATAACCACGGCACTGGCCCTTGGAGCACCACACAAGAGGCCCTACTGGCCACTGCACCCCCTTTCTCTTTGTAAACACAGCGACCTTTCTTGTTTCTAAAATGGTTCTCTCCTGCTTGTGGCCACTGCACATGCTGTTCCTTCTACCTGCAACATTTTTTTCCCCAACTCTGCCTAATCAAGACCAGCTCATGTTCCAGACCTGGCTCAAACCTCACCTCGTTTCAGGGTGAGAACATGATTGGGTCTACTTGGTCCTTGCTTCTGTAGTCTTATGATTCTCACTTATAGCATTTATTACAGTCTGTGATTAGATACATGCACACATGTATCTGTGTGATTATTTGATTCATGTCCAAGTCCCCCAACTGATAATAACTCCACAAAAGCAGAAACCATGTATGTTTGGCTCATCATTGTATCTCCAGAGCTTAGCACAGTGCTTGGAATACAGCAGGCACACAATAAATACTTGTTCAATGAATGAACATAACAGGTTGAGAAATGCTGTCTTACATTACTGGCATCTTCAATTACTTCACTCAACACAGAGAGTGATACAAGACTGCCGCAGAGGTGCAGTACAGGGCCAGATCCTACAGGGTCTTGTAGACCATTTAAGAACATGGGCTTTTATAACGGTTGGCATGGAAAGCCACTGACTGGTTTAGAGTAGAGGAGTGACAAGATAATTTTTTTTTTTTTTT